GACGGAGGTCCGGGGCCTTTCTTTGTTTGTGCCGTGGCGGTCCCGGGATTGGACTTCCTAAGAGGCGGTGTCCTGGGCCACAACCCTCTCGTTGTTCCCTAACCGAAGGATAGGGTTCACGAAGGGGAGCGGAGGAGGGGGGAGAATGGTGTTCTCCCTGACCTGCGGCTGAAGGGGTACCAGCGTGCCGAAGGCACCTGGGTTTTGAGTGAGAGTTTGGATGAAGGCGGAGAACGCTGATTGTACGTCAATGGTGAGAACCGGAGGGCTCATTTGGTTTTCGCTCCGGTCCGTCTTTTTGGCTTCGATGCCAAGACGGGCATCGGGGGCATTATGTTGGAAGTGAAGGCACAGGTCGACAGCCGTCTGTTCCAACCCAGCGAGGGCGCCGCCCTCGGGAGCCATGTTAGAGGCTTCGAGGGCGTCGACGTCGCCGAGGGCCAGGTTCCTGTCCTCATGAGTCTTGGATTGGGCGCTAGTGTTTCTTCCCATTTTGATAGGTGTTTTTAGCTGAAGGGGATGGTTTCTTACTTGATTGTTCGAACTCTCAACGAGAGCACCAAATGATGGATAGTGTACCCGGGGGTAGCTTATCCGAGGGGTTATTGCAGAGAATAACTAGAGAGAAGTCAGAGCAAATAAGTAAGAGAGAGAGAGTGTATATTCGATATGTATTAAGCGTGGTTTACAATGGGGGAAAGGGGTGCTATTTATAGTAGTAATAAATGCTAGATAAGGACACGTGTCAGTTTTCTGGTGGTCGAGGGGTCACCTCGACCGGGGTGGCACTGGCACTCGCATGTGGCCGCATTAAATGTGGTGGTTGGATGTGACGTTTGTACTGGTACGGTGATCCAGGCACATGTGAAGAGGATATTCTGTCGAGGTGGATGCCTTCGGCTGAAGGGTGCTGGGCCGAAGGCTCTTCTAACCGAGGGCTCCTACCTGCCGAGGGCTGCAGGTGCCGAAGGCTTGGTTTTCAAGCCTTGTTCTCCTGTGATGCCTCTTCTAATCGAGGGCTCCTACCTGCCGAGGGTTGCAGGTGTCGAAGGCTTGGTTTTCAAGCCTTGTTCTCCTGTGATGCCTCTTCTAACCGAGGGCTCCTACCTGCTGAGGGTTGCAGTTGCCGAAGGCTTGGTTTTCAAGCCTTGTTCTCCTGTGATGCCTCTTCTAACCGAGGGCTCCTATCTGCCGAGGGATGCAGTTGTCGAAGGCTTGGTTTTCAAGCCTTGTTCTCCTGTGATGTTTCTGAGCTCGATTCCGTCACTGGTAGCCTTCGTCCATGGGGCCGAAGGCACCCCTTTGCGTATTGTGGGCTGCTTAGAGATCCATTTTTCTGGGCTTGGCCCGTTTGGGCCTGTTGGGTCTGATTGTAGTAGAGGAAGTATGTGGGCCGGGGGTCCCTGGGCCATATACTCCATCACATACTTTGAGAAAAATGTTACTATGTATATTTAGTCCTACCGTAGTAATTTCTTAATGTTTAACTGATAAATAATTAGCCAAAACTGCAAAGTTCACGGAAATTTTTGGTGAGGAGAAGAAACAATTGTAGAGAATTAGTGAATTAAAAATGAGTTAAAAGTCCATGAAAATCCACGATTTTAGAAGTCAATAAGAATGAACGGAAGTTTGAATACGCCTAAACTTTTATAGACTTTTAAAAATCTACATTGAATATTTGAATACACCTAAACTTTTGTAGACTTTTAAAAGTTTACATTGAATACATCTAAACTTTTAAAATTCATGGACTTTTAAAAATTTGCCACTAATTCTTAATACAATACACCCCTCTAAGAGCTCATTTGGTTGTTTTCTAGCTTATCAATCATCTTGTTTACTAATCACGCAAATTTTAATCTTGCGCGTTGAGTTGTGTGATAATCAAAATCAATAAGGTTATAGTTACTTTTCTGTCTGCATTGACTTCAGTGACTGATGATAACCATTTAAGTTATTTTTCATATAATATTTTCTTTATTTTAACAATAAAATATATTTTATTTTTCATAATTCCTTATTGGTAAAATTTAAAATTTAAAAATTCAGAGTTTGAAAATTTAAATTTAGAGGTATTTAACGATATCTTTCAAAAATTTAGTTTGTACTACATTAACAAATAAAATGCAGCTAAAGTAGAATATGTGAATAATGCAAAATCATCAATGTCGCAACTAAAAGATAACAAATGTAATATACTCGAACCCGCATGGGTAGCTCTGTTGGTCGAGTAGTGGGAAAATTGGACCAAGTGACTAATGTTCGAAATCCGCAACGGCCGTGTGAAGGTTACAAAACCTGAAATAATGATGGACCTCTGTTGCGCACGTGTATAAGGCCTACCGTCGCTTTGCTGACTGAGTCACCCTGATTAACCTCCCTACCATCCTGTCGGGTCGGGGTGGGGGGCTCCTGGGGTGGGAGATTCCACCTTTTGGATCAAATGTAATACTTCCCCCATCCCGAACTAACTTTTTTTGGTCAATGACATTCAAATTTGACCACTGATATATTTTAATACGAAATTGTTTTGAATATGAAAATCATATCAAAATGTTCCTTATTCAAATTATTTTCGTAAAAGTATAAAGTTTATAAATTATATACAAATATAATAATTAAAATCGTTGTCCAAGTTTTGTCAACATTGACCAAGAAAAGTCAATATAGCAAACCTTTTCGGGAGGGAGGTAGTATACTTGAAGTACAATAGTAATGGGCTTATTAAAAATGGAAGCCCTTAAACACTTGTCTAGTTGGCATGTCCCTTTGGCCGGCCCTACATATACTCTCAATTAGATAGTACGATAGTATATAAAAGGTGACAACTCTGGTACCCTCCTAAAAATTTGGGTATCGTACCTAACATTTAATTGACTGGTCCAAATCATTATATCATTTTTAATTTAAATTTAAATAATTCAACTGCAGCATTCTGATTGGTTCATGTGGACAAAGGTATGGTACATTAAGGGTACCATAGAATCTACCTATATAAAAACCTCAGTTTGAATGTATGATTAATTTAATAGGAGTGCATTTTGAGCAAAATGGATGAATATCTTCACTTTTATAGACTTGTTTATCTTCTTCCCCACACAATTATGTTCTTCGCAATCTCACCCCCCGGCCCCCTAGTTAAAAGGCTTCAGATGAATCGGCCTAGAGGACTACGACTTCAGAATAAGAAATTGGGTTTTCTTGAACAAAATGTTATTTTTCATGAACAAGAAATGGGAGTTATAAAAGTTTACTAAAGCACGAGACATACTCCCTCCGTCCATTGGCTTTGTGCAAAGTAAGTCCGATCCCTCACTCTTTATTTATATCCATGACACGGATATTGCGTACTTACTCTTGTACGTGGATGACATTGTATTTACGACTTCTACCAATGCTCTACATCAGTCCATCATCTCCCAACTCAAGTCTGAATTTGATATGACCGACTTGGGTCCCTTGTCATACTTCCTTGGCATTTCAGTTACTAGACATGCTCGTGGCCTCTTTTTATCCCAAACCTCATATGCTAAGGACATCCTGAACCGTGCGGGCATGGCCTCATGCAAACCCATTGCCACGCCAGTTGACTCCTCGGCCAAACTTAGTGCCACCGACGGCCCTCCGATGGATGACCCCACTCTCTACCGCCGTCTTGCCGGGGCTCTACAATACCTCACTTTCACCGGTCCAGAGATTTCCTACACCGTTCAGCAAATATGTCTTTACATGCATGACCCTCGGGCACCTCACTTTCATGCCCTTAAACGGATTTTAAGGTATATCAGTGGCACGCCACACCTGGGACTTTACATTCGACCATCACCTATTTCTACTCTCATCTCCTACACCGACGCCGATTGGGCCGGCTGCCCCGACACCCGGCGATCTACATCCGGCTACTGTGTTTATTTAGGTGATAACTTATTGTCATGGTCATCCAAACGTCAGCCCACTGTTTCTCGCTCTAGTGCCGAAGCCGAATACCGGGGTGTAGCTAATGTCGTGGCTGAGACATGTTGGCTACGTAACCTTTTACTTGAGCTCCGCTGTCCTCTTCACAAGGCTTCTATTGTCTATTGTGATAATATTAGTTCCGTTTACATGACTAGAAATCCCATTAATCACCAACGGACAAAACATATTGAGCTAGACATTCATTTTGTTAGGGAAAAAGTGGCTCGGGGTGAAATTCGGGTTTTACATGTTCCATCTCGTCATCAATATGCCGATATCTTCACCAAAGGTTTACCCCGGATTTTATTTGATGAGTTTCGCTCCAGCCTTAACGTCCGGTCACCGCCCGTTGCGACTGCGGGGTCTCTTAACAACATACAGTAACGTTGCATGCACATGCAACGCATGCCGGCAGTTGATATTCTCATGCATGGATTATTTTGTATTTATCTAATCTATCATATTTTATCTTATTATAATTGTTTAATATTATCAGGAGTGGTCTTATCCCTCCATTTACGTTTGTGTTGTAACTGTATATTGTTACGTAGATAGCTTTAGTTTAGCTTGATAAGATTGACCATGTATACTATTGCCGGCTATTTAAAGTCTTGGCAAATAATATTTGAGATACGAAGAATTATTTAATTCTAACTCGTTGGAATGTTCCCGCTTTCTTTTTTTGGATTTCTCGTTGGAAAGTTCCCATTTCTCTAAATGGAAAGTTATCCTACATCAAAACAGGGTCAAACAGTGTCAAACAGCGTCGAAACAGTCTCAAACAGTGTCGAAACAGTGTCAAAACAGTAAAATTTACCCCCTGTTAAGTTTATTTCCTTAATATGTGTGTAGGTCAAACTGTGAATATTCCAACAGGACGAAAGGAGTATGATTTTAAGTACTTCATAAAGCAAAATTGATTATGAAATTAGAGTAATATTTAATGAAGAAAAAAAGGTACTCTGTATTGCGTACTTATGGTAGACATGTAAGTTGAATATATACATTGATTCTGTTCGATTAGATACCGATTCTATGAGAACTTGTAACATGATTTGAAATCTCATTTTACAATTCGATACTTTACCGGTCCGATTCAGAACAGTTCCTCTTCGTACATACCCAACTCCCCAAGATAGTTAGAAAATCTCTGCAAAATTATATTACACTGGCCGATAACTCCCAATGACATGATTGATTCGTCTTGTTTCTTCCACCACATGTCACACATGCTTGACCTTTGGGATTTGAACAGCTTAATATTGAAAGAACTACCCCGTAAAAGATTTTATTTGATTCTTCGGAAGATTTAGACCCTAGCCTAGCTGCTCCTGCGGCTATAAAGGCACAGCGTGCTCTATTCATGCAGCGGTGCAAATCAAACAAAAAGAATCATGAGGATTTTGAGAAGCTCTTCTTCTTCTTCAAGAATAAAGATGAAGATAAATGGCAATCGTTATCCGTCCTTCTTTAGGATCTACTTGGGTGAAGCCTTTTTCCGGGAACGGATTGTAAGTGTCCATTTCGTTATTAATTACTCCAACTATTAATCATGCATAAGTCCAACTACAGTTAATGCATGATGTTACATTTACTATGTGAATAAACAGCATGTACCACGTGCTTTCATGGATGCACATGCGGACAAGCTGAGTGAGAGTTCATGGACCGTGAAGACAGAAAAGGGAGGGTCCAGAAAAATGAAGATAGAAAGACAAGGAAGCGATTCATTCTTCTGCAAAACAGATTGGGAAGATTTTGCTACCGATCACAACCTAGGCTATGGAGACATTATTGTGTTTTTCCTAGTTGGAAAATCTGAGTTGGATGTTCTGCTTTTTAGCCAAACCACTTCTTGCGGCATTGATAATAAAGGTATCTTACCTTATAACAATGGAAGTGCTGATGGAATTGATGCATTATCTCATGATGATGAAGAGGAGGATGACAAGAAAGATATTGAAATAATCCCAACAAAGGCAACAAAGTCCAAGAGGAACATGGCATCGCGTTCCAATGGCAGAAAGTCAAAAGTAACATCTGGTATCATTTTACTCTATACCTTCGTTTTGACATATTTTACCTTCGTTTAAATTCACTGTTTGAATGACGAGTTTGTAGATAGAATTTTTTTTCCATTGAGTTTTCAAATTTTTCAAAGAATGAGAGAGACTAATTAAGATGGACTACTTGTAGGGGTAAAAGAGTCTTTTACAACAAATTATTTATGAAGAGGGAAGGTTTGAGTTTGATTTGGGTACATATATCTAGAACAAGAAATTGAGAACCCAACTAAATTTAGGGATGAATGGGTATAAATTAAAATGAGTGTAAGAGCTCGTTTGCTTCTGTTTGTTGGCTTGGCTTATTAACTTTTTGGGTCAACTTGTTTACTCCGTATTATAAATGTTGTAGCGTGCAATAAGAGTATTCAAAATAAGTAACATTAAATTTAGTTTTTTTTCATATAATTTTTTGTTTGATTTATAAATAAAATATATTTCAAATATATGTTTTCATAACTCAGCATATTCAGCCTATTGAGTTAGAATTTTATCAATTTTAGTAGAGTAGAATGAGGTGATTCAGCCAATTTCAATATTAGAAACATGCTCTAAAAGATAGAATATTGAATTGTTAAATGAAAAAGGGTGGAAATGTTATTCATATCAAGTTATCAACCTACATATTTTTGTACTCAGAATTTGAATAGGAAGTATCTTATACCCTGTAATATTGAGATGGCGCTAAATGGAAGGGCAGATGGCCCGGAGGCTCTTAATTTTTCATTACTTAATGCAGAAAATGAAGTGAATTGGACAGAGTGTGAGAGTGAAGCAGAGGGAGTAAAGATTCAAAGGTTCAGTAATGTCAATCTCTCTGCTCCGTATCCTTACTTTGAAACCGTTGTGAAGCAGAGCCACGCGGATAAAAGTTACATGGTAGGCACTATTTAATAAATAATTATGATATTAATGTTTCTAACATATGTGCTTTTGTTTAATTCATTATTAACTTACTGCTTTAATCTATTTAATGGGTAAAATGCCATAAGTTGGAGTGTATAATTAAGTTTCTTGGATGTTTGGGTTGATAATATGATCGAATAGTTCATCCCTATGGAGTTTGCACGCAAGACGGGAATTATTGATGCAAAAGAAGTAAAACTGATGATGAGAAGCCGTGGAGGGCAATATGAGAAGAGTGTGAGAGTGGGGATTTCGAGATTGGATAATAGGGTCCATATGACCGACGGGTGGAGGTCATTTCGGCGCGTCAATCGTATCAAAGCCGGGGACGAGTGCTCATTTACTTTGGTTAATCCCAACACCAAAGGAGTAATGCGGCTAATGGTAAAAAAACTTTCCAAATGACAAGAAAATATTTGGAGTTTTGCTTCTGTACACCCCGCTTTACACGTCGTCTTACACGTCGCCTTACACGCTCAAATTTAATTGTATATGTGTAGACAATTGTGTTTGGGTTTAGTAAAGGAAAATGGTTGTGATTCCGAATTGTCTGTACACACATTTCATTTTTTGGAGTCACAAATATTTCTCTTTACTAAAACATAAATGTAATTGTCTGTGAGTATGCACAATTACACTTGAACGTATAAACCTACGTGTGACCCAACGTATAAACCTACGTGTGACCCAACGTGTACACGAACCAAAACTCAAATATTTGTGGTCAGGTCATCCTATTTGTGTCGCCTTTTTTGGTATGTGTGTAATTTCATGTGCCTGTGTACGTATTTGGTGCGTTTTTTGGTTGACTTAGATGTCCGTACGTAAGACCTTCAAATTGGCAGCCGCATGTTTAAGACATAAAGCACATAATTTTGATCCGTTGTTTGGTCTTTTAAATTGCATTCCTCTTTTACACTCTTACCAACAGTTCAAAACCACTTTAAAATGGCCGATTAATATTGTAAGTTCTTCAATGTCAGTTGGGTATCTGGCGGCAACTTAGTTGGTTTAATAACTTCAAAAAAAGTTTGGGACAAATGATATGGCACCCTTAGAAAATGTATGCGGCAAATGATTTTACTTTTGGTACAAATATTTAAATGCATAGTGTAAATGTTTGTGAAAAGAATACTCTTTCCATCCCATAAAATAGTTCTCGAATTGACTTGAATCGAAATTTAATAAAGTGAGAATAAAATAAAAATTTATGGTTGTGGTGAAGTAAGAAAAAAGTAAATGAATGTGAGTCATCCAAAACTTTCCAAAAAAGGAAATGATGAATATTTTTGGAACGGCCCAAAAGAGAAATCGGAAACTATTTTGCGGGATGAAGGGAGTATATAATTACATTTTTATCATTGGCTATTAGCCTTACATTAGTTACATAGAAGTAAATTTATCCCTAAATGAAAAAATAGGATTATACTTCTTTTATTCCTAAAATAGGAGTACATGCACTATGTTCCATCTTCCTATTCTAGCCTTTCCATAATCACAATAGGACTTATGGAGTATTTCATGAAGGGAAAATCATTATTTTAATCCCTCAAATAGTACCAATATTGAATGTAGTCCCTTTATTTTCATTGTTGTATATGTCACCTTTCATTTGTCAAAATTGTATAAATGTGGTTTTATAGAGTGAAATGTACAATGTGAGCGAGAATTACATTTACACCGAATCAATTTAGACAAGTGAAGAGTTACATTTATCCACTTAAAAACATAAAATTAAATCTCAATGTTTGTACTATTTATTGAGCAACTAAAATTGTAATTTTCCGTTTTATTAATAACAAAAAATGGTAAGATGTCAACTATCTTGTGGTCTTATGGCATTACTGCTGATCTCCCAAGATGAGATCGTAAGTTCGTGTTTCATCCCAATCAAGAGATTGACATTAACAAGAACAAATATTATAATAGGTTTATAAGAATATTCCAAAAAATGGTAAGACAATTGGTTTTAATGAATAATAATGTAATCAAATAGAGTGGCATTGTTGTACGGAGTACAACGTATCAAACATAAATACAAGATAAGAGTGACGTCTGGAGCTGGGCCGCCCTTGGTCTGGACTCCAAACTACTAGCCAACCCACTGTTTCTGCTCCGACCCACAGAAAAATTAACCAACAAACAAACAAACCATATTTATTTACTCATAATATATAGATTTCATTTCACACACAATTCATCATCTCCAGAACTAATTTTATAAAAACGGCAAAAAATGGCATCCGAGATTTCGAAGAATCGCAATTCCCCTTCTTCTTATCATCCTGACGGCATTGCAGAAAGCGAAGCTGCTGCTAAGACGTCGTCAGTGACGAGCCAGCTTCATCTGTCCAAGTCATCCTCGGCTCTTGACAGAGACGTTGTCCTCAGCCGTCTTCGCCACCACAAGCGTCTGGAGACGGCTCGCAGAAAACTGCAGGCGGTGTTCGGAAAGCCTCCGCCGCCACCCTCCGCCGGGGAATCGAGTGACACTTCGTCGGCCAATGAAGAAAACAAGTGGCTGCAGTTGTGTGATGTCTTCTGCTCCCCGTAACATTCATAGATGGCGTGGTTAGTAGTTACTGGTTGGGAAATGGGATGAGGCCGGCAGGGTTGGATGCTCAGAATTTTTAGTGATAAAAGAGTATAATTACTTTGGAATAATTAGAGATATCAACAAGTTGTAAATATTATAAGCTGAAATTGATAAGAACAATTTCTTTAGGAATTATATAAAAATAATCTCTATTTAGATTGTTCACAAAAATAATCCAAACAAGCAATAATGTTCATAACAATAAATTGGGGTGAATTCAAATTAGTACTCATTTAATTTAACACACTCCACTTTTGACTTCCTTATTCTTATTATCGGGACAAATTCAAACTAATACCTTTTAATCTCAACACGATTTCGATTATATGTGATCTTCTCTAGGTTAAACATAAAAGTATTAATCAAAACGAAAAGTAATGAAAGCGAAAGTGGAGGAGGTACGGGGTTTAGAGTAGGCCTGATAACGAGCCGAATCGAGCCCGAACACCCAAAGCTCGAGTTCGGCTCGATAAGGAATTAGTGGTGTTCGGATTCGAGCTCGAAGCTCGACGAGCTTTACAAATGAGGCTCGTGTTCGGTTCGATAGGCGTTCAACGTTCGAACCGAACGCTCGATAAGCTCGATTAATATGATCGAACTTAAAATTTTAGGTGATGCTCGTTAATAGACTCGTGCTCGAATGATTCGACAAGTATTCGGTTCGTTAATAATCATATTTAAATTCATAAAATCATACTAATTATATTTAAATTTTAATATATATATTATATTTATAATTTTAGGTGTTCGATAGGCTCGAGTTCGAACCGAGCCAAATACTACTATGTTCGAGCTCGGCTCGATTAAGTTTTTAAACTTAAAATTCAGCTCGGGTTCGAGTTCGAAAGCTCGTTAAGTTCGTCTCGTTAGGTTCGAAACCGAGCTCGAACTCGAATAGTTTGATAAAAGTTCGGTTCTTTAACAACCCTAGTTTAGAGTACCAAATGTACATTAATTTGAACTCACTCCAATTTATTCTTGAGAACACTATTACTAGTACAAACTATTTTTATGAATACTCTTAATAGAAATTAGGCTAAAGGGTCAAATAGGTCCCTATACTGGTCGTGTAAGCTCAATTAAGTCCCTGAACTAAAAAGGTTCAATTTGCACCCCGAACCAACAAAAAATGGTTCAAATTTCATTTTTTACGGGTAAACAATCAGTCATTTTTAATTTTTTTTGTTGTTTCTGTTTTTTATTTTCGATGCATTGCAATTTTTAGACTTTTTAGTAGTTTAAGGGTGCTAATTGAACCCTTTTTACTGTTGTTTACCTAAAAACGGTGAAATTTGAACCCTTTTTTACCGGTTCAGGATGCGAATTGGACATTTTTTAGTTCAGGGACTGAATTAAGTTTATCCGACTGGTACAGGGACCTATTTGACCCTTTAACCTAGAAATTATTATTGTAAAATTTATAAAAGTGAACATTATTCTCGCGAATTTTGCCATATGATATTGGTTACACCTTAATATGACATGTTTTGGCATGTTCTATACTCCCTTGATAATGAATGAGAAAATCGTAAATGAGAACTCGTGGCCGCGCCACATAAAAAACTAGCCTTGCACCTTCCCAAGAAATTTAAGTTATCCTGAAAGCATGCGAAGTAGGGGTTAGCATGGGACGGTACGAGACGGTTATTTCGAAAAACCTGTCCCGTTCCAAAGTATGGTTATTTTAAAAATCAAGAACCTACCGATACTGTCCCGCGTATACGTAGAACTGTCCCGTTTCGTACCAATTTTCGGTACGGTTCGGTACGGTTCTTAAATAACTAAAGAACCCCCATGAAATATAAAAAACTTTAGATTTTAACATTTATAAATAACTCTATAAAAATTGAAGAGATGAACTTGCAAGATTATATTAAACTGATATTGTGTGATCAAATTGAAATATGAAACTAATAGTCAAATTATATTAAAGAAAAGTAACATATACACTAAAATGTAAAAGTGATTGTCAAACTGAAAAACCAAAAAGTATAACATCACATGACAAAAATAATCAACTTAATAATCAATATTTGAGCTAGACTAAATCTGCTAGAATTCTAGGCAATGGCATCAGGACCTCGGGGCGATTTCTGTCAACAATCAATATTAAGCCTTGACATCAGGGCCTCAACAATGCCGATCAGGTTTAAGAGTTTTTGTTCTATTTAAGTGGTATTAGACCATTAGCATTGTTTTTGTTTTAATAATTGGATTGGGCCCAAAGAAGATGTAAGAGTAATATACAGACAATTATACTCGGTATATAATATATTTATTTTTTTTATATAATACATTAGTTTTAATACTCGGTATATAATATATTATACATATTATTATATTATATATAATACGAAGTATATTATTATATTATAACACTAGTTTCGAGACAATTCGGGACGGTACGAGAAGGTCCAGTTCGGTACGGTTCCGGGATGGTTCCGGTACGGTTTTCACTAAGAACCGGTACTGTACCATATTATTAAAAAAAGCTCGGTACGGTACGGTACAGTATTACATTTTTCCGGTTCTATCGATTCTGGAATGGTTTGGGACGCTTCTTCGATTTTTTATTAGTATTGACAGCCCCTAAATTATCAACAGGGTGTCCGAGCACGTAACGCCAAACTACCCTTGGTTAAGTAAGGAACATGTTACCCCCCAGTCAAGTATCCGTGCTCAGCCCTAATGCGAAGCGCATTGCAAACAAGAAGAACCATTTTCTCATCCTCTTTCTTTAATTTTATGTTTTGTTCCATTTTTGTTACTGGAGTTTTCAATTTTATCGCTCGATTATGGTGTTGTTGGCTGCTAATAATGTTAGACTGAAATTACAGATTTGGTCTAGTCTGATCTGTTTAAGTCTAGTTTTATCTAGTATAGTCTGGTATGGTATGGTAAATGTTTGGTCTGTTTAAGTCCGATCTGGTCTAGTCTAGTCTGATCCAGTCTGATAAATGTTTGATCTTTGCGTATTTAATAACTATGAAAGTCTGGTCTAGTCTGATTTGACTGATTTGCTTAAGTCTGATCTGGTCTATTATAGTTTAATCTGGTTTCGAACTGAAAATAGTCCAGATAAAAACATCATGGCCGTAAGAGAATAGAATGGCAGTTCTGAAAGCGTAAATAATTTTAAATACTTTATTAGAATTCAAATAATATACTCCGTAAATAAATTCACAAATATGACAAGAACTAGCTCTCTATACGCGCAATAAGGCTAATGCCCAATTCTTAAATAGTATATGTTTAAAATATTATTTATTTTATTAAAAAAGGAAATTTTTGCCGATAAAATATCATAAAGATATAGCAATAAAATAAATAAAAATTAAAGAAATCACAATCTAATACTCCTTTCGTTCTTGCATAAGCTTATCACTTGCTTCTTTTTGATATCCCAGCTAAAACTTCTCTTTTTTATTTTATAAGTAATTAGTAGTCTGAAGTGACATTCTAATAATCAAATATTTAAAATAAAACACCAATGTTATTCGTCATCAACATTATTTTTGAAAACATAAGTGAATTGCCTCTTTTAATTGTGAAAAAAGTGCACTTATATATTATTTCTGGTAGCTTGGTAACTTCTAGTTACTATAACTATATTAAAACTTTGAACACAATTGTAGTCTCTAAAAGTATTAAGTCACGTTTTTGTCCAAGACTTTTTTATTAGATAGTAATATTTCAGGGAAAAAATTTCAGTAAATGTTCCCCTAATCCCCGGCATTTACCACATCTTGAAAGGTGGTTCCCGAGAAAAAGGAAGAAAAACTCTCTTTAATTATTGTCTAAGTAACCATGTCATTTTTCAGTGAAAAGCTTAAGTCATGACGGAGGTAGCATATTCATGTCCTTGATTGATGATTCCAATCATTTGAGCTTTATATCGACAATTTTTCATCTTTTAGGTCATTGATTGGTAATTAGTCGGTATTTCAATTCTTGGAGCAATAACATGCATTTTTTAGTAAACATTTTACTTTAATATTGTGTATTGAACTATGTAATACTACTTTCATCCTATACAAAGTTCACGTCCACTATTCTCCGATCAATGTAAAATCTTGTTAATTTTTTACTTTTTATATCCAACTTTTATCAAATTTGATTTTTTTGTGACTTTATAAAACTATAATGTAGTTTCTGAAATTTGTAAATGGTCAAAGCCAAATATTATTATGTATGAATTAAATACTTCCAACTTACTAAATATAAAGACATTATATTACCATGACTTGTGGGAAGCATTTGAATAAATATTTCAAGAATTGACATGAAACGCTTTTAATGCACCAAATATGACGGATTTTATGGTTGAGAGGTTGAACATCCAGGGCTCGCCACGTCACGTACAACCCTCATCTACTACTTACACACTACATTTATTTAATTACTAGTTTAATAACGCGCATTGCGCGTTCGTGGTAATGCCCAATGCCAATGTAGGGACAACAATATCTTAGTTAAGGTTTAGTGAAAATATGAGTAATACGAATACAACAGTTGAATACATAATTTGTTATTTATCAATAAAGAATCATAAACAATAAAACATTTACAGGATATAATATATGTGGGAAAATAAAGTGGTCAAGATGATTATAATAACCATAATAGGAGTGAGATTCACATGAAACAGTAGCATGTATTTGTGTTGTTATATGAAAGCACACATAACAAACACAAAAATGTTTTACTCGAAAAAATAGTTAAATATTTATTGGGTTGTAGCGCTTGAAGAAAATTAAAGCAAAAATTCTAAGAAAATAGTTGAAGTAATAGAAGTAGTGGGAAATAGTGATAAGTAATCAAACTTTTTTCTTGCTCTTGAAATCAACAGGGGAGTCCTCTACTCCCGAGTGTTGGAGCTTCATCTTTGACGAAGGTGGGGTTGGTGGATCATTGTTGGTTGTAACAATGTAATGAGATGCATCATGAAAAGATGTTATGGTGTAGGAGCGGCCTGGCTTGGTTTCATAGGTACTTGCATTGTATACTTGGTTGTTAAATAGTCACAAGCAATCTTGGTAATACCAATCTTTGTAATACCAATCTTTGTAATACGAGATGACATTGGTATGAAGAAGATGTACTTTACTCAGTTTGAACTGATAAACTTGAACATATTTTCTATGAATCTAAAACAGAAAACTGTTAATAAGTGATGATCATTAAATAGGAATAAGGAAATCAGAATACATAACACAGTTTCACATTCCAAAAAGGGAGAAGGACTGATCAAAATTTTTGGCTCTTCTCC